ATTTCCATTCATTCATTGTTGCACTTTTCCTGCCCACTCCTCCCCACCCAGTAAATATCTTTCATTGTTATATAATATCTCCCTCGACAATAATACTTAATCATATATCCCTTCTAAACAGTTTTCTCCCTCATCTGTTTCAATGCATAATTTATCCCGTCTTTCTCAGTTTCCCCCCAACCCCAATGTCAGTCCCATTTTACAACAGTGGCAGCATCCAGTGTTTGTCCTTTTGTGACTGAGATACTTCAGTCAGCATAATGTCCTCCAGAGTCACCCATTTTGTATAATATTTTATGAGTTCCTTGTTTTTCAATGCAGTGTCGTATTCCATTGTGTGAATATACCACAGCTTATCTATCCATTCATTTGTTCATGGGCACTTAGGTTGTTTCTAGCTTTTTGCTATTGTGAACAAAGCGGTGATAAACATGGGTGTATATATATCTGCTTGGGTGGCGGTTACGGTCTCTTTGAGGTATATTCCCAGTAGTGGAGTTGCTGGGTCAAATGATATTTCTATTTGCAACTTTTTGAGAAAGTGCCATACTGCCTTTCGTAGTAGTTGCATTATTTTACACTTCCACCAACAGTGAATAAGGGTTCCAATTTCTCCACAGTCTCGCCAGAATTTGTTGTTTGTTGTCCTATTAAATTTTGCTATTCTTACTGGGGTTAGGTGACATCTCATAGTTGTTTTGATGGGTGCCCTTTTTGTGCAAAGTTCAGGTGCTGGGCTGCTAACTCAGAAGTTGGCAGTTTTAATCCTTCCTTTGGCTCCACCATGGGAGAAAATACTTGGTAATCTGTTCACATAAACATGGCCTCAAAAGCCCTCTAGGATGGCAGTTCTGTCAGTACTTCAAGGATTGATATGAGTTGAGCCAGCCTGTCAGCACATAGCAACATACTTTATGTAGAATTATTTTCTAAGGAACAAAATGAAACTCAATAGGGAGCATGACTTAGTCATATTAATTAGTAGAGTGATATTATATATGAAGTGTTTGATTTAAACTGTGAGTATATAAAATCTATAAACGAGTACAATTATTTACATTGTTCTCTTTTATCTGAAGACAATACAGAGGAAATGAAGGACAGATGAGGGAGCTACAAGATCAGCTTGAAGCTGAGCAGTATTTCTCGGTAAGTGATGATCATTTTTAGCTTATAGATGGTTTCAAAATCTGACTTAAAAAAGATATTTGAGAATTTTTTTCTCAGTTGACTATGAGTAATTTTCTTCTTTTGTGTTCTCACCGCTTCATTTCAATTTTTCCTTTTTCTTTTTTTAAAAAAAGGACATAAAAAATCTATTTCCTGCCCCAAATAATGCTCAGAGCCTCATTTACTTCTGCATCCTTTCAGCACAAGGAATATAGTGGAAACAATTTTGTGAACTACAATATTATTATTTGATACTAACTCTCATGCTACAAGCAGCACAGGAGTCAGTTTTAATTACTTTCCCTCCTTTTACTACCACCTAGACTCATTTCCATTTTTAAGATGAGTTGATTGCCTGATTTTTAAAAGAATGATCAATTTTTACAAACATTTACAAAACTGCCATCAAATAAGAGTTGTAAGACTTCATTAAGGGTTCTGCTTGCCTACAAATGAGCTTGAATGTTTTTAAGTGTGTGCCAGTTTATCCTGTATGGCTCATGCGTGCACATTGAAGAGGCCTTTGAATTACAGGTATAAGTAATGTGTAAGAGCATTTTCCTTCTCTGTGTAGACTTCATGGATCTCTTTTGCTTTGACTCCAAAAAAATCATTTCCAGCTCTTAATTACTTCCTGCCAAATGATTTTTACTACTCCTTTTGATGAGCATTTCAAGCTATTGTATTTCGAGGCTTATTGAAGTCTCTGAATTTTGGGTCTCTTTTGATGGCCAAACTTATTTTGCTCTACTGTAATTTCAAATTAACATTTATCTATCTGACCCCTAGTATACACTATTAAGCACATTTCATGTGCACCTTACATGTTAAATGTATGTTGGTGTTATGTGCCGTCGAGTCGCTTGCGACTCATAGCGACCCTATGTACAACAGCCCTAAATCCTCTCTGTCCTGTGCTAATCACACCATTTCCGATATACCCATCCCAATTGCCCCAGTCACTGAATCAATCCACCTCAGAGAGGGCCTTCTGCTCCCACGCTGTCCCTCCACCCTACCAAGCACGATGCCCCTCTCCAAGGACTGGTCCCTCCTTACAACATGCCCAAAGTATGTTAGACGGAGCCTCAGAATCCTTGCCTCCAAGGAGCTGCCCGGTTTGACCCTTTCCAGGATGAATCTGTTTGTTTTCCTAGCAGTCCATGGTACCCTCAATACTCTTCTCCAGCACCACAGCTCAAAGGCATCAATTTTCCTTCTATCCTCCTTAGTCATTGTCCAGCTCTCTGATGCATAACAAGTGATTGCAAAGACCATGGCCTGTATCAGACGCACCTTAGTCTCCAGAGACACCCCATTGCTCTTCAGTACTTTGGAGAGGTCCCTAACAGCAGACTTTCCCATCGCAATACATCTTTTAATTTCCTGGCTACTGGTGCCGAGAGTGTTCACTGTGGAGCCAAGCAAACTAAAGCTGTGAACAGTCTCAGTCTCTTCACCATCCATCCTGATGCTGACAATTGGCCCAGTGGTGAGAATCTTTGTCTTCTTGACATTGAGCCTCAATCCATATTGGAGGCTGCAGTCCTTGATCCTCTGCAGCAAGTTCAGGACATTCTAGTGAACATCTCACTGGAAACTGAGTGAAAATTAGAAGTAATGATTTCTTCCATAAAAAATCTGACACCTTTCAAACTCTAGGAGTTTTACATGGTTTACAGCTTTGTTAATCGAGTCTGTATTCTACTCAGCTCCTAATAAAGATACTGGCTTTCTGACAATATTGTGGTAGTTTGTTTCTAGGCTTATTAAGTCTTCATTGGAATATGTTTTTATTTTTTAAAACAAAAATGTCAGTATTACCTTTCCCTAAGGTTAAAATTAACCTTAATTATTTGAAGTAAGTGTGGTGCTGGAGAAGAGTATTGAATGTACCATGGACTGCCAAGAAAATAGATTCATCCTGGAGAGGATTAAACCAAGAACCTCCTTGGAGGCAAGGATTCTGGGGCTTCGTCTGACATACTTTGGGCATGTTGCAAGGAGGGATAGGTCCTTGGAGAGGGACATCATGCTTGGGAGGGTGGAGAGACGGCGCAAGAGGGGAAGACCCTCTATGAGATGGATTTATTTAGTGACTGGGGTAATTGGAATGGGTGTGTTAGATAGAGGCAGTGCGATTGGCACAGGATAGAGCAGGGTTTAGGACTGTTGTACATAGGGTCGCTATGAGTCGCGAACTACTCGATGGCACATAACATCAACAACAGTACTGACTCCTGCTGGGTAGTCTACCATATCTTAGTCACAGTATTTTCCATATGCTTCCGCGCCACAGACTTCCAATAGCTCTTGACTCGATACCAGAGGGCTTGGGTTCTTAATTTTGCCTTTATAAACTAATATAACGTGTTGCCATCTCACCGATTCATATGAATGTCGGAAGAGATGCCGAAGTAAAAGAGATGAATAGACAGATTTTATAGGGCAGCTCGAGAAAACAAAGCAGCTCAAAGAGCTAGACTTGCTCAACATATCTCAAACTGAAAGCATTGAAAAACAGATTCAGGCTGTGAGTTGCAATGGAAAGGTCTTGAATGAGCCAGGAAGCAGCAAAAGAAGATGTACTGAAAAGAATTGATCGACATTGAAATATTTCAGGAAACAACATATGATAATGAACCAGTGGTGACAAGGGAAGATGTTTGATCTGCACTGAAAGCACTGACCATAAATTAAGGCCCCTGAAATTGATGGGAAAACCAACTGACATGTTTCACCTAACAGATTACAGCCCTGGGGGTAGTCACCAGGCTGTGTCAGGAAATTTCGAAGACTGCTACCTGGCCAACTAATTGAAAGAAATCCTTATTTGTTCCTATTCCCAAAAGGTGATCAGACAGAATGTGGAGATTATTTAGCAATATCATTACTGTCACGTGCAAGCAAAATAGTGCTGAAGATCATCCAAAAGCAGCTAGAACAGTATGTTGACAGCTGCCAGACTTTCAGCCTGAGTTTAGAAGTGTTGGTGGCATGAGAGATACTATTGATGATTGTCAGATGAATTTTGGCTGAATGAATAATAGAGGAATGTTTTAACTACTTCAGTGACTGTGTAAAGGCGTGCCCGTGTATGGGTCATAATAATCTATGATAAAGTTTTATCTCACATAATTTGGGCATATTGTTAGGAGAGACTTTTCTTTGGAAAGGGACATCATGCTTGAAAAGGTGGAGGATTAGCAAAAGAAAGGAGGAAGGCCCTCAGTGAGATGGATTGGCACTGTGTTACGGCATTGGGCCTTAAGGTGTTGGAGATGTTAAGGAAGGTAGAGGATAAGACGGAGTTTTGTCATTTGTAGGGTTGCTATGAGTCAGTCCTACTAGACTTGATGACACACACACAACAATCAGGTTTCTGGGTTGTAAATTTTTAAAGGAGGAGAATGCTCATCTTTCTTCTGCAGAGCATTTGCGGCCTACCTCATTAGATAATACACCACCAGAGCTCCTTCAGAATAATACAAAACCTAACACTCCTGCTTGAGCTCTTATGGCCTTATGGTAAGAAGCTGCATTGCAGTCCCGAGGTACAAGTTTCACATCCAGCAGATACTCCACAGAAGAAAGATGGACAGTTTCCTCCTGTGCAATTTACTGCCTCTCTAAATCCACTGGAGAGTCAGCTGTGCTTTGGTTCCAACTTAGTGGCACACAACAGCAACATCACCTGATATTATGTTGGTAGGTTCAATTTCCTGTAAGGATTGGGTTAGATAGCATTAATTTATGATTTTTCTCTAATTTGGGCTTTCAAATGAATTTTATTTTCTCCTTTCATGCTGTAAGTTTCAGCTTTTGAAGCCAGAGACAATATGACAGTCTGAGTCCTACAAGCAAATGGGACCATTTTATCTTGGAAATTGTAACATTTAAATCTTGAGCAAACTATCACTATTTTTTCACTGTTTACCTATAAAAAGAATGGGGATTTTTTCCCCTAAAGAAGGGGTTATTTTCTTAGAGGAATAGTTAAGTATACAGTATAAAAATACTTCTACACAGCTATTTGTTAACACATTTATAAAGAACAAAGTTAAAAAAAAAAAAAGAACAAAGTAGTAGACAACAGAACTTCAAGTTTCCTCTGGACTCCTAGTATCTAACACAATGTGTACTGATAATTATTTGTACCTGTTATGTATTTACTTACAAAACCAGCAGAATTATAAGTGAATTTTTAAAGAATTGTTACTTTGCAATCTGTGTCGTTTTATGTTAAGAGAGCATTTATTTGTATTCTACTTTTCTTACCTAACCACTCCAAGTAAAATGGAAAAGTATTCTCTCAAATTATTGACTTCAGAAATTAATCCAACTTTTAAATGAGTAAGTTCTAAGTTTCTTTATAATGTTTTTCTCAAATCAATATATTTTAATATATTTTATTGAGGTATAATTTGTATGATAAAATATACCCATTTTAAGTGTGTATATAGTTCAGTCGGTTTTTCATAAAAATGGTCTTTTACAGTCAATCATTCCCGTGTCCCTCTATTCCTAGGCAACCTCATAATTTCCTGGTGAACTTACTTTTACTTGTTTCAGAGTTTCGTGTACATGGCGTCACTTTGCAGAGCCTGGCTTTTATAATTCAGCATAGTATTTTTTAGATTTATTATATTGTATATATTCCTTTTTATTGCTGAGCATTTGTGAATATAAATATAATCTTTGATGGCATTACCAATATCCTATTGCAGCCCAGAAGTTAAACGTTTCTGACTGTTCAGATCCACTAATGACTCCGTAGGAGAAAGATGAGCAGGCTTTTCCTATTAAGGCTTCTTGTTGATCTGTACCATCGACTCGGAACCAACCGTAGCTGACTTTTCAGAGACAGTTAATTGCACAGGAGGAACCTCCCTTATCCTTCTCTCATGGAGCAGCTGGTGGCGTCAAACTGCATGCCTTTGGGATTGAAGCACAGCTTCTTGCCTCTTAAAACCTCAAAAATATAGACCATAAATCTGTTGCTGGATAACTGGTTTGTTTCTGCTTTCTGTTAACTATGAGTAAAATGGCATTGAAAATTTATGTATCAGACTTTGAGTTGAATATGCATTTGGATTGTACTTGAAAGTATAGTTGTTAATTGTTTGACTTTGAAAGAAGCTTCCAAACTATTGTTAAACCATTGTACACATTTATTTTTTGGCACTTATTTTGCAGACTCTTTATAAAACCCAAGTAAAGGAACTTAAGGAAGAAATTGAAGAAAAGAACAGAGAAAATTTAAAGAAAATACAAGAACTACAAAATGAAAAGTATGTACATTTTATTTTAATGAAGAATGAGTCCATACTATACTGAACCTTTCTTTCAAGTGTAAAAGTAGGTGGTGTCAGTGTTCTAATGGTAATGGTCTGACGGTTTTACTGGCCTAATTCAACATAAATCAGAGTACATAAAAATCATGCTCAAAGTTACCTCTATGTTTAATAAACAGTTTAGTAACGCAAATTGACACTGTAATAATTTTTCAGATAAACTGTTAATTTTGTTTAAAAGTCTCTGAAACTATAAACATACTTGGAATAAGCCATTTTTTTTTCATGTTAGTATAAAAAAGTATGTAAATCCTTTTAGGATTTTTATGTAGAGGAAGTTTTCATTACATTATGTACTAAATACCTTAGAAGGAAAAATCTTATAAAACTATTCTAGTTTTATCAGCCTCATTTTAACAGTTGAGTAGACAGGCTCAAAAAAGACACTGGAACTAAAATCTCTTGACATTTATGTCTCCTTCCCTGTACTGACTTTGAAAGTTGGGGTGGAGGGGGTGTCCAGTATTTTATTGACAAACAAATAACAGAAAATTGCAAAGACCAGATATACCAGTTTGTGACAGGTACAACAGATACCTTCATAAACCACCACTCACAGACGAGACACAGTCTTTACTAGCTATGTCAGTTTCTGAAGCCCATTATATTCCATCTCTGCATGATGCCTCCTCTTTTCCTTCCTATAAAAGGTACCACCTTTATTCCAGCATTTGTTTGTTGCAGAAACAGTCCTGTGTTGTATGGAATTTTTCTCAATCTCTGGTCAAATAAATATTTTTCCACTGCTCGATATGTTAGTTGGCTAATCATTAGCCTAATATAGCTGCTTAAGTGTAAATTTTAAATTATTTAAATAAAATATTACCCCCACAATAGTACTAGCACATTTTAGGTGCTGACTAGTGATACCTGTGGACAACAGATAAAAAACTTTTCCGATGATGTAGAAATTGTCTATTGGGCATCCCCAGTTAGGAGACATAGTCAGATTTTAGTGTGATCTTAGAAGGGGAGAAGACAACTTCACATATAATCCTGCAGTGTCTAGTGTTTTGATCCTTATTACATTAGATGTTGTGCAATGGATATGCTCCTAATATACCAACTTCCCTACTCTTCTAAACGACTCTTTCACATCTTTTGTCCTCTCTTCAAATGTCTGACCATATTTTTGTTCTCAGCCAAGGATCTTTATCTCAGTAGTCAATAGTAAATTTCTGTTTTCCACCACCCATCACTACTAACATGTCTGCATATAGCACTGTAAACCATGCCTGTCTTCTGATTGGTGTAGTAGAGCTAATTCTGTTCTTGATCCCTGATTCCTGTTTCTCAATCAATTCCTTTTCACCTCTTTAAGATATGATTCTAACAATTCTTCCCTGTTTCAGTTTCCCCCTTTCTACAATACTGTTACAGTAGCAGATCCTAGGCTAGGAATGACTGTTTGTCTTAGAGACAACTCCTCTTTACCCTTTACTGCAGAACTTCGAACTAATACTGTCATTGTTAGCAATTTAAACCAGGCACAAACTGGAATTTTTACAGTTTGAGTGAGTCATCATGGTAACTGCAACAGGTGGAAATTACAAGGAGAAGACCTGAAGTCAGAGACTCAGAAAAGCATAGAGCCCTTTCAAGAGCCTGATATGTGAGATTGTATTATTGGTGAGACTATATTTTTTTATTTTTTTATTTTATTATTTTTGTGTGCATGTACCGTCAAATCAG